ACAAGGGTCTTTCCTGCTGCCTTTAAAGGGGAAGTGGTGAGGCCCCTGTTGAAGAAGAGAAACTTAGATTTTAGTGATTTTAACAACTTCAGACCGATATCTAACTTACTATTCTTAAGTAAAAATTTTAGAAAAGCTTGTGTTAATACAGCTTAATGATTTTATTAAAGCACATAATGTCCTTGAGAAATTTCAGTTTGGTTTTAGATTAAACCACAGCACTGAGACGGACGGTTCTGGTTCTACTGGATTTAAGCGCTGCCTTTGACACAGTGGACCATAACATTCTTTTAAACCGGTTAAAACACATCGGCCTCTCTGGTGCCATCCAAAAATGGTTTACTTCGTATCTCTCAGACAGGACTTTTATGGTAAGTCTTGATACCTTCTGTTCTAAGACCCGTGAGATTACTTGTGGTGTGCCCCAGGGTTCGATTTTAGGCCCAGTGCTTTTTAATCAGTACATGCTTTACCAGCTCAGTGGCCTAGTGGTAGAGTGTCCACCCTGAGACTGGGAGATAAAGGTTCGATTCCTGGCCGGGTCATACCAAAGACTTTGAAAAAATGGGACCCAATGCCTCCCTGCTTGACACTCAGCATTAAGGGGTTGGACTGGGGGGTTAAACCACCAAATGATTCCCGAGCGCGGCTGTGTCTGCAGCTCACCGCTCCCCCAGGGGATGGGTCAAATGCGGAGAACAAATTTCGCACACACATCAGTGTGTGTGACAACTAATGGGACTTTAACTTTAACTTGGTGGCGTCATCGGGCGACACGGAGTGCAATTTCACAGTTATGCAGATGATACACAGTTGTACATCTCTGTGTCTCCTGATGACGCAAGACCATTGGATGCCCTTTTTAATTGTATTTCGGATATTGAATCCTGGATGTCAGAAAACTTTCTCCAGCTTCACCGGGACAAAACCGAAGTTTTAGTCATCGGTCCTGAGACCCAGAGAGAAACTTTTTCCAACGCTACAGTCACTAACTATTAATTCGTCTTCTCAAGTGAAGAAACTGGGTGTTATTTTTGACTCTGAGCTAACTTTTATTCCCCACATTAAGAATATTACAAATATTGTTTATCACCTGAAAAACATTGCCAGAGTCTGCCCCTTTCTCTCTCTGGCCGATACAGAGACGCTGATGCATGCTTTTGTAACCCATGGCTCCCTGAAAAAACTGAGTATCTGTATTCAAATCTATCAGCGCGGAATACTTCTTCAGGGTTAAAGTGCTGTGGGAGCTACAGGATCAAATGCGTCTTATTTCCTAAAGTTTCTTGCTTTTTTTCCCCTTTGAACGCTATTGCTGGGTTCTCAGCAGTAGGAGCTCATTATCTGAGCTTTGAAACCTCCAACCCACAAACCACACACACAACAATCAATTCAATAAATTAAATATATTGAAATATGTCAATTGAAATACGGTGGGGCAAAAAAGTATTTAGTCAGCCACCGATTGTGCAAGTTCTCCCACTTAAAATGATGACAGAAGTCAGTAATTTACATCATAGATACACTTCAACTGTGAGAGACAGAATGTGAAAAAAAAATACATGAATTCACATGGCAGGATTTTTAAAGAATTTATTTGTAAATCAGGGTGGGATGGGATTGAGGGTGGGAGGAGGGAGATACAAAGGGAATCTCTTATGTGAATCTGTGTGGGAGGGGCGAGAAACCGACTACTCTCTGGTTGAATTTAACATTGTATGTATGAAAAGCACTTCTTAAATAAATTTTAATTTTTTGATTTTTTTTTATTTGACTTACAAAGAAACACACATCTGTCTCTCTGGAATGAGCTGCCGCTCATTATTCGACCATCACAATCGCTGCAGGTTTTTGAGAGAAGAATCGTTTTTATCGTCTGGTTTCCTCTGATGGGTTTTTATCTTAATTGCTTGTGTTATGACCTTTTTATCTATTTGTTTTAATGTTTTTATTATCCTTATTGCTCTCTTGTGATTTTATTCCATGTTGTGTTCAGCGCCTTGGACTCCCACAAGGTTGGTAGAAGGCGCTATGTAAATAAAATTTGATTGATTTGACATTTGATGGGTTCTGATCTGAACAGGGAGAGACAGAAGATCAAGAATCAACAAGAAATGATGTAAAAGCTGCAACCTGATGAGGAAATCATCTGACCGACTACAAATCATTCTGGAAAAGAAGAACCTTTAATGTTCAAATTATTCAAAAATTAAACCATCATAACAGCCTTAGACAGATGAAGACACGAGACATTCTGTATAAAAGACGATCATGTCTCCTTCCTGTCAAGTGTTGATGATCCAACATCGGACTGAACCAGAACCGCTCTAAACTCTGTCATTTACCATCTAAACACACATTGTTCATGATTCTTCCTCAGTAGCTTTTTTTCACACTACTGGCTCTGTCAGGTCCATCTTTTTTAGGATTCATTTTTAGTCTAAAAATTTCCCTTTTTTGTATTTTTATTATGGTGTTTGTTCGTCTTTTTTTTTTTTTAGTTTTGTCTTTCTTATAAAGCGCCTTGTGAGCTTATCTTGAGAGACGCTATATACAAATTAGGGCTGCAACAAACGATTATTTGGATAATCGATTAATCGGATGGGGTCTCGACACGATTAATCGATTAATCGGATTACATGGGGAAATTTTTAAAAACTGCTAGGGAAACGTTATTTCTCTCCTTCCTTCACTTTATTTAACACAACATTATTAGAAAACAGTTCAATAGCAGAAAAACAACATGCCATCACCTAAATTGTCTTATAAGGTGTATAGACAGAGACCCTAAGCTACATCTATCTGTGACCTAAAATGCTTGGTCCAAGTTAAACAGCTTAAGGGCAATTCTCATCTGTTTTGTTTGATCTCATCTGTTAATATTTATTTTAAATGTAATTAAACATAGGCTGTGAATTAATCAAAATTGATCACTATTTCCAAAACTGACTGAAAAAATACCAAATAAAACAAAAGTAAATGAATGCCATCCTCCTTGCGATGATGCCCTGGGCAACTGCCATAAAGTCACATCAAGAAATGCTGCTGATCATTCCAATGATCCCAAATAGACTCACATTAGGCCACATGAAAGCAACTGAACCCAAAAATATATTAACCAGTATATAACTGCACTCTCACACAACACGCCTGCAGCAACAGTTAGGACTCCTCCCTCCCTTTTAAAAGCGTTTTTGCTTCTGAGGACATTGTGGTTGTAAAACCACATGCTAGTAGTCTGGCCCCGGTGTGATCAACCAGTTTCTGCGGGAATGTGACGGCGGAACCAGGGCCAGATTAACACTTTGTTGTACCCTGGGCAACAATATTCAAGGGCTCCATCATCACGACCCAAGGATCACCATAATGTGGTCACATACAGAATATTTTACTGTAATATGCAGTAAATATACTCAATACTTGAATGCCTGACAACACGTAACCCGCCCAGAGTAACCTTTGACCCACCTCGTGTGGACTGACCAATGAGGAGAGGGTCTTAACTTGAGGCCCTCTCTTCATTGGTCAGTCTGCATGAGACTGACTCTCAACTGACATTCAGTCGTAGGCAGCGAAGCGTCGCTGTGCAGCGCAAAAGCCCGGGTGGACAGTTTGTTTAATATAGGGTGACCATATTTCCATTTCCAAACAAGAGGACAGGGGATCTGTGCCTATGACGTCACACTATGGCAACGCCACACAAACCATGTTGGGACCCATTTTTTGTAAGAACTAAATTAATATCAGATTCTGCCAATTAAAGGGCTCTAAAACTATTCATATGTAAATATTTTGCATATTTAATGCAAAATCTAATTTTTCTGCTTTAGTGCTGCAACAAGGTTTTATTAATAATAAATTATTATACCTTTTGTTTTACTACAGCATCGGTAAGCTTCCTGTGCACAGATTATTAAGGATGCTTGTTTCAGCTGTGAGATTAGACGATAGGATCAATGAAAAAATAAGTTGTCACACACTCCATGGAAACTTTCAGAGAATCCACAAATAGTGGCTTTCAAATGGTTTTGTTACTTTTTGCAAGTTTTTAAAAGAAGCAGATGAGACAGCATGTCTGATAATTTAGTTTTTCATCTGATAATATTAGAACATGTCAGTAATGTCTGAGGGGCTTTTATAAACACTGTATAACTAACACTCCTGGAGAGGGCATGGATTACACAGAGGCTTCTGGGGAGCCCAGTTATTGGGGGGGGGGGGGGGGGGGGGGGGGGGGGGGCATTTTGCCTTGGCCCCCAAAATGTCTTGAAACGGCCCTGGGTGTGTGACTGAGTTTTGAAGGTGATCTGAATTGTATCAGATGTATAAATATGACATGTGTATAACTTATTGTTTTTTACTGGTAAAAACGTGTCGTGGAGATAAATCTACCTACATTTGACTTTTCAACACTTTGTTTTGTTTTCTTGTTTTTATTTAACTATTTTCCTGTCCTGTCTGTCTCTCATCTTCCTGCATCTCCTCATAATTCTCCAGAAAATCTGTTACCTGGATTCTTACCTTTTCACCTCATCAGTTACTTTTGAGCAGATCAAAGGGATCTCCTGACCGAAAAGCGCAGAGCGCGTTTTCGATGCTGCGTGAGGTGACATCACCACAGCAGAGGTGATGAGCTCCGCAGTAGCGAGCTTCAGGCACAAATAAGACAGAAAATAGAGAACATGTGCGGACATGAACGATCGTGTGCTAATTATAGTTTTTTGGTTGCGCCACTTTGAGAATGGACCGTGCGCTGGAAGCAGCTGCCTGGATCGCTGCGCGACAATGCGGAACCGGTTCGCAGCAGCGCAAGTCTGCCGGCTCTCCCTCGCGCTGATCTGCCGGTACTGGCTCTCCCTCACGCTGATCTGCGGCTCTCCCTCGCGCTGATCTGCGGCTCTCCCTCGCGCTGATCTGACTTGCTCTGGTCTGCGCGCAACGGCGGGCGGGAAGGGGGGTGGGGGGGGTGGGGGGGGGCGCGCGCTTTTGGAAGAGTTGTGCGACACAACGAATCGATGACGCAATTCGTTGCCAACGCTTTTAGTAATCGATTTTCATTGAATTTATCGATTCGTTGTTGCAGCCCTAATACAAATATTTTTTCTTCTGCCTAGTGGTATGTAAGCACATTACAGCGGTACTTGGAAACAGTTCGTATTTCATTTCGACAGCATTTGCTGAACCTTACTTAAAAATCAAAACAAAACAAAAACATTGGACTGTGATCTGTATTGCTTAAATAATTCACAAATGAATAAACCTACAGCTTTTATCAGTGATAATGGCAACAAAATGCCTAAACCACAACTACATGAAAAAATCAGAACAGGACAACCGCACGATGCTGCACTACTGAGAGAGGGCGTGAAGCCTCGTTCACACTGAATACAGAACGCATGCAGAAGTGCTAAGTGTCTGTGATTAATTGTCCACCAGCAGTGATTAGTTGTGTCATCAGAAATAAAGGGAATGTGGTTAATTTTCATGCTGAGCTGTTTCTTGGAGTGCTATGACTCAATCATGGCAAAGTTTGAGTTAAAAAAGATAACCGGTTAATTACAATCTAGTCCATGTTAATACATCAGTACACTAGTGGAGAACCATGCAGCCCAAAAGTGGTTCTGTCTTTCCGGCATCTGTCCACTGCTTATAACTCTGCAACAGAATCTCTAAAAACTCTGGTACAGGCACATTCCTAAGCCTGCTTAAAATAGCAAAATGCTATTGTAGGAGAATGGAGTCTCCACAGAGCCGTCTTGTAATTTATGACTTCTTGACAACAGTCCCAGCTGTCTCTCCACAGCCTTTAAGGTGGGATTTCTTCTTAGGGGCTCCAAATGAATAAAGACACATTCTTTTTAAGCTGCAGTTATTACATTGTATGCTATTATTTTATATACAGATAAATTGTTTAAAGCAGACGCCACTGGTATCTAACAGTTTTAAATTGCAGTGGGTTATGTACTACAACCATCAAGTGCCTGTTTCTTAAATACAGGAGGGTATAACAGTTTTTTCTTAATCTTTAAGTAATTTTTTTTGTATTCAGACTTCATGAATGAACATCTCAATTGTTTGGTTAAGGTCTGACTCTAAAAAACAAAGGAGATTTGAAAATGAAGAGGTGGCTCAAGGGACGATCAACGATAGTTGAGCAGAGGAACAAGACTAAAGCCTGGTTTATGCTTCTCCGTCAGCTCCGCAAGGGACAGACACGCACAGATTGACGGAAGCGTTTTGCTCTTTTACTTCTCCGTCTCCTGGAGAGTGTTGCAAAGCAATTGCCCGGCAGGACCACAGAGGGCGTAGCGCTGCTCTGTGGTATCCTGTCATGTATCGGTCCAGGATCGTGTGTTTATATTGTGTTTTTTGTGTATATAAGAGACTTTTAACATGGACATATTTGTCTCTCATTCTCCCACCACTTCATGCGCTCCCCACCTCTAAACCCACGTTTCCTTTCATTTCCGTCCACAAATAAAACGCTTGCTGCGCATCTTTTCACTCCTCCAGTCACGGGAGGATGAAACGTTCATATTTTTAGAGTTTTTTCGTGAGGTATTCTTCAAGCTGCTCCGTGTCTGCCGCTAGTTATCCTCAGCTCTCTTTGCAATGGCGGCGCTGTAAACAGCGGCATCCAGACCAATCACAAGCTTGCGTAATCCGTCTCGTTCGACGGATGTTTAAAAAAGTGGGCTCGACTCCGTACGTACTTGCGTGCCTGCCGGAGCCCTTCACAAGGACGTTGCGTGTCTCCGCACTGACGCAGACGGAGAAGCATAAACCAGGCTTAACATTAAGGTTGTAAAAAAACTGAATGTTACATCTGGAAGTACTGTTTTTAAATAAATCCCTCGAGCCTTGTGTGGATGCTCGTATGTCTCTTTAAATGTGACTTTCGGCTAAATCTTTGTCTACACAGCTCACAGGCAAAAGGCTTCTCTCCTGTGTGGATTTTCATGTGATTGTTTAAATGTGACTTTTGGATACATCTGTATCCACAAAGCTCACAGGCAAAGGGCTTCTCTCCTGTGTGGATTTTCATGTGATAGTTTAAACTTGCCTTTTGGGTACATCTGTATCCACAGAGCTCACAGGCAAAAGGTTTCTCTCCTGTGTGGACTCTCATGTGATCGTTTAAACTTGCCTTTTGGGTACATCTGTATTCACAGAGCTCACAGGCAAAAGGCTTATCTCCTGTGTGGACTCTCATGTGTGTGTTTAAACTACTTTTATGGCTAAATCTTTTCCCACAGAGCTCACATGCAAAATACTTCTCTCCTGTGTGGACTCTCATGTGGTCATTTAAACTGTTTTCATGGCTAAATCTTTTCCCACAGAGCTCACACGCAAAAGACTTATCTCCTGTGTGGACTCTCATGTGTCTATTTAAAATTGCCTTTTGGGTACATCGGTATCCACAGAGCTCACAGGCAAAAGGCTTCTCTCCTGTGTGGACTCTCGTGTGTTTGTTTAAACTATTTTTATGGCTAAATCTTTTCCCACAGAGCTCACATGCAAAAGACTTCTCTCCTGTGTGGACTCTCATGTGTACGTTTAAATTATTTTTCTGGCTAAATCTTTGTCCACAGAGCTCACAGGCAAAAGACTTCTCTCCTGTGTGGACTCTCATGTGTCTGTTTAAATGTGACTTTCGGCTAAATCTTTGTCCACACAGCTTACAGGCAAAAGGCTTCTCTCCGGTGTGGACTTTCATGTGATTGTTTAAATGTGACTTTTGGGTACATCTGTATCCACAAAGCTCACAGGCAAAAGGCTTTTCTCCTGTGTGGACTTTCATGTGATAGTTTAAACTTGCCTTTTGGGTACATCTGTATCCACAGAGCTTACAGGCAAAAGGCTTCTCTCCTGTGTGGACTCTCATGTGATCGTTTAAACTATTTTCATGGCTAAATCTTTTCCCACAGCACTCACAGGCAAATGGCTTATCTCCTGTGTGGACTTTCATGTGTGTATTTAAATGTGACTTTTGGGTACATCTGTATCCACAGAGCTCACAGGCAAAAGGCTTCTCTCCTGTGTGGACTTTCATGTGTATGTTTAAATTCTTTTTCTGGCTAAATATTTTCCCACAGAGCTCACAGGCAAAAGGCTTCTCTCCTGTGTGGACTCTAATGTGTGTGTTTAAACTATGTTTATGGCTAAATCTTTGTCCACAGAGCTCACAGGCAAAAGGCTTCTGCCCAGTGTGGCCTTTCATATGACGGGTTAATTTGGACTTTTGGCTAAATCTTTTCCCAAAGTCATCACAACGAAATGATTTTGGTTGTTTCTGGACTTTTCTACATGAGCCTCCATGTTGCTTCTCTTTCACACATTTTGTATTAACCGAACACTCTGAAGACCTTACTGCTGAATGACTTGTCAGTCTCACGTGTTCCTGAAGAGACCACTGGTGTTGGAACCGTATACCACACACAGGGCAGCTAAATGATTTGTTGACTGTCTTAATATCTGACTCCGAAGACTTGTTCTCATTACAGCCATGGTCTCCGTTTCCAGTTTCAGGCCCAGAGTCTGAACGCTCAGAGTCTAGATTCAAATCATCTTCATCTTCTCCACTAACTTCAATCTCTGAAGAATCGGATGTCTTTTCATTAGGGTCCAGATCTAGGTTCTTGCTAGTTTCTGCTCCTCCACCAACTTTTGCTGTCATCTGCCCAGCCAAGCAGCTGGTTGGGACACCTCCGTCTTTCATTTGATGGTTGTGGAAATGTAACAGCAGAGGTTTCTCGTCCATCTCCTCTCTCTTCCTTGAAACTGCAGTGAACAAAGTAGAATGATGTAAAAGAAAAATATTCAGTAAAAAGAGAAGACAAAAGACCTAGGGGTGTTTTTGCAATCAGTAATAGACATAACACATGTTGGTAAACACATTACTATTTATGGTAATGCATTACTTTAACAAATAACTATGAATCTAATGAGTTGCTTTTAAGTCCAGACATCACTATGCGATTGGTAGAAGAAAAAAAAAACCGCTATCTGCAAATTCTGATTAACGCCTCTCAGAGCCGGTCAAACCAGCCATCCGTCACTGCTACTGTGGAGCCTAGAGATTCCCTGACAGCAGCATCGCGTCGGTCCCTCCCTTCCTTTCCCTAACACCGAAGGTGCGCAGCGGCAAAAATGTAAACAAATATACCTGCCGAACCTTTACTCCGTGAGAGTGTTGTAAAGTTTGTATCCTACAACGAAATCACGGCGCGGAGGAAGCTTGTTAAAATGCGCCAAAACAGTAAATGTAATACGTGTTTTAAGAAGAAACTGTGGGTGGAAAGAGGTGAGATTGTAAGGCCTGCTGCAGAAATAAAAACACTGAGCATCGACACTCGTCTGTAACCCATAAAATAATAATGAGCATCATGCTGCTAGATCAGCAGCTTGTGATGACAGTTAGTTCCGCTCACTAGGTCAGCTGACCTTAATCCACAAGATGGGACATATGGCACTAGAATTCCAGATACAGAGCTAGGAGCAAGGCCATTTAAACATTTGTAGGCCAGAACCAAAATCTTAAATTCAACACAGAACTGAACTGGGATCCAATGCAGAGGCAACAACTGGAGTGATATGATCAAATCGACAAGTGCCAGTCTAGAGACGGGCTGCAGCCTAGCAATACATCCATGATCAACACCCAAGTAAAGACTATTGCAGTAGTCTAAACAAAATGAATTAAATGCATGAATAAGCTTCTCAAAACGATTCCTCATCAAAAAGACTTATAAAGAATCTGTAGGTGAAAAAAGCATACTTGAACCACATTATTGACTTGAACATCAAATTCAAGCTGAGAATCATTCTTAACACCCAAATTAGACACAACATCCTTTTCATCATTTGAGACTGAGTAACTACAGGAGCACCACTTGTTGCAAACATAATAATTTCCGTCTTAGACTCATTAACCTCACGAAGACAACTCAGAGCTAAATCCTTAGCTTTAACAGGAGCATAGACCTGACAGTCATCAGCATAAAGATGAAAGTCAAGCTCATATTTCCTAAAGATGGCCCCAAGAGGGAGCAAATATAAATTGAAAAGCAGAGGACCAAGTACAGTGTCCTGTGGGACCCCATATTTCAGGGGAGCATATCTTGCGCAGAAGCTACCAATCTTAACAGTCACATACCTGTCAGACAGGTAGGAACTCATCCAGAAGAGCGTTGAAACAGAGACCAAAAAAATTCTCCAGTCGATTGAGAAGTATAACATGATCAAGAATATCAAAAGCAGCGGTCAGATCTAAGAGTAATAAAAAGACTGTCACCCACATCAGTATATTGGTAAATATCATTGAACACTCTCACAAGTGCAGTTTCAGTACTCTGCTTGGTTCTAAAAGCTGTTTGAAAAACTTCTTAAATTTGTTATTATCTAAATGGTCTGACAACAGCTTAAAAACGACTTTCTCAAGAACCTTAGAAAGAAATAGCAGCGTAGAAATAGGTCGATGATTGGATAATACCGAGACATCAAGACCAGGTTTCTTAAGAAGGGGTTTGATTACAGCTCTTTTCAGACTCTGGAACTTGCCCACACTGCAGACTAGAGTTGATTACATTATGAACCATATTTGAAATAGCTGGCCAAACATTTTTAACAATAGAGGATGGAATGATGTCGAGTGCAGAGCTGGATGGTTTCATCCTTCCAACAATTTCATCCAACATATCTGGGGATACAGAGTCAAAGGAATTTAAAGTAGTTGAATCAAAACAGATTTCTTCATCAATAAAACCAAATTGCTGGGGAATTTGAGCTTGAATAGTTTCAGTTTTGCCTATAAATTATGTCAGAAACCTCTCAGCAGTAGTCGAAGAGGCTTTAAGTCCACCTGCACACGAAGGATTTCAAATCTCATCCACGGTAGAAAATAGTACTCTTAGGTTATGCTCATTAGAGCTAATAATATCAGATAAAAACGTGGATTTTGCCTTTTTTACAGCCATTTGATAGGAACACCATGCAGACCTCATGTCTTCAAATGAGGGCTGTGACCTAGATTTCTTCCACTTCGGCTCACATTTCCTGCATTAGGTGAAGATTCTCTGTCATCCTGGACATGATCATCCTGAGCTTTAATATAAAAACAGCTGGGCATTTCTGGTTATCTTGAAGACGTTTTTCTTCTCATCCTAGAGGCTTCTTCTCATTGGTTGTGAGTAGAAGGCTGTGAGTTATGGTCAGAAATAAACACACTGACGGTTTTTCTTTAGTTTCTCTTTTGAAAACATTTTAGTCTAAACAAAGTTGATGTTATTGTTCATAGAATTAAAATTCAAGTCCAAGTAGGACCTGTGGTTAGTTGGCTCATTTGCAAAATGTAATGTTTTTGACCTTGAAAGAATCAGGAATCGTTAGGAACTGGAATCTAAACAGGGGAATTCGTTCAAATTCAAACGATGCCCAACCCAACTTTTTGTCTGAAGTGATTAACGTAACTGCAGTAAACGTTGACAGATAAAAATAGATTGTGACCGGATTTTTTTAGACCCTGCTGGGGTCACTCAGTGATGCACCCATTGACAATCCAACTCTGGTAATTGGCAGCTCCATAGTCAGAAACGTGGCAGAGACTCCAGCAACCATAGTCAAATGTTTACCTGGGGCCAGAGCGGGCGACATTAAATCCTACCTGAAACTGCTGGCTAAGGATAAGCGTAAATACAGTAAGACTGCTAATAACGCTGGTGGTAACATACCTGCAAACTCGGGGTGTGGAAAAAGGTGACAACTACAATGTCCCCCTCCCGTCTGTGGGGTTTGTAGTGACCTGCTCTGGCATTTACATACTTCTTGTTGGAATAATTAAAATAAACTCATCAACATGATTTTTTGCTAAATGCAAACTATTTTCTACCATGACGTTTAGACAGTCTCTGCTCAGAGAAATGAAAAAATATGCCTGACAAAAATGATCAGGGATCATCATATATTTTTAAACATTTTATGAGACTAATTCACACTCATGTTACAGCCCCCTGTATTTGGGCTGATGAGTTTATCTCCCTCTGTTCATCCTGTGAGGTGAACCCCATGATCCAGCTAAACTCCCCCACCAGAGGGAGCCATTATCTGGAACCCTTTGGCCTGCTGCTGCTCCCCACAGGGCAGCTGGTGCACATCAGCTGATTAAGAGGTCTGCACAAACAGTTGAAAAGCCAGACTGAGCAGCTGGAGAAAGAAGCGCAGTGAATCGAGAGGTTTTGAAGCTGAGTAAAGAAGGAGCTGGACAGAGGAGCTGGCATATAGAGGAATCGATTGCAGCTGAACGGCTGAGCTGGAGAGCTGTGACTGAGACCAGACTGAGAGGTGCAGAGAGGGAAAAGCTGCTTTTCTGGTTGGAACGAGTTTCCTAGGATCCCTGAGCTGACATCCAGAGCATTCTCCAAGTGGTTGGGTTCTACACCCTATTGGCTGGAGTCAGAGCGAGTGATGAGTACCACTAAGCTTATTTTATCAAGAAGTTGATTAATAGACTGTCATCACTAACGTCCCTCCACCAGTCACATTTTGGTTTAAAGCTCCTTTTGTAAATAATCCTCCGTAGTCTCCTTGAGTGTTAATACTCTTGAATATTCCTCCTTAGACCCCTTTGATTGTGTTTTACTCATTTGCCGTAGAGCTCCATGCTGCCCCGTTTAGTTTGGGAGAATATTGGCTCACCGCAGAGACGAGCCGCACGAACCATAAATGCTGCGAGTTGTGAAGCGCGTTCCATCCACGAGCCGCATCACCGCGCGGAAAGTGAATGCGTCAAGCATAAACCAAGCTTTAAGCTTGAGTCATGCTTCTCCGTAAGCTCAAAGGGAGAGACAGGCACGCACAGACAGAGACATTTTACCCTCATACTTCTCAGTCTCCCGGAGAGTGTTGCAAAGCAATTCCCCACCAGGACAACAGAGGGCATAGCGCTATTCTGTGGTATCCTGTCATGTATCCAGTCTAAGATCGTGTGTTTATATTGTTTTTTTTTTTGTATATAAGACATCTTAACGCTTGGTGGAACAACAGAAAATGTGTGTTTTAGTGTGCTTTTGTGCTACAATAACTCAGAGATATCCTAGTACAGAGAAATTAAATCAGTTTTAGCGAGACCCAAACACCAAACAGCTACACGTAGTGCAACACTGAAAACAGGAAATGGGAAACACCTTACCGCCAGGTGCAGCCAATCAGAAACTGCAGTAATTAGGTCACGTCACATAAAAGTGAATGAGAATCCTTTTTCCAAAAAAGTTTATTCCAAAATTCAAAAAATACAAAAATCGTAACGCTAAGATTAAATATCCCCTTTCGAGTATGCTGCGTCTAACTATCCCTGAGAAGAGCTGCTCTCGATGCCACCTGTCACCGTTGACTCGCCGTCTCTCGTCGTGTCGTGACCTTTCTTCTACTTCTAACTGCTCTTGTATATCGTTCTAAAAACGGCAAAGCAAAGCATTTTCCATTGTATAGCATTTTCATGTTACAAGCACTTTTTCAGAGTGACGTATATATCTTTTAAACTCAAGACAGCTAAACAATGTAATCATGTCATTTGTAAGATGGTTTCAGATCCTCCCAAAGCTCAAGCTTCTTCAAAGGGGGCATCACATCCTGTGGTGCTTTCTTCAGTTGGTTCCCTTCCTGTCTTCACCTGCCTCGATTCCACTCGCATCAGCAGGCTCCCCTGAGCTCCGCTTATCTCTGCTGTCCAAGTGGCCCCTCCCATTGTGTCCTCTTCCTTTGTGACTTCCTTCTGTGGCTCTGGCCCTCGGGAGCCCGCAACATGACAACTTCATAGTAATTAATGTAAATATGTGCAACTTAGGAAAATGAATGTTCAATAGTCCTACTGAAACATGCCTGTTTGTAGAAAACATGCGTGTGCGTGCAGGAGGGGTGGTGGTTGTGGTGGTGGTTGGGGGGCTCAAAGGGGGCCTCGCCCGGGGAGTAATTCCATGTAAAACCGCCACTGTCCCTGACAGGTGCACAACCACCTCAACACGCCATGGAAGGACCCAGACGTCTCCCTACTGAGAAGGTGAACTGTGCCCTCTCACATCCCAAACTCCATTCTTGCATTCCAGACCTGGACTTCAAGGAACTCATCAACTTAAGACTGAAACCATCCTGATCAACGGACGAGGACTCTAACCGTTCCAAAGCGTTCTTCAACCGGGACTCTCAGTCCACGGACAAGCCCTTTGATGAAGAACGCCTGGTTTGCCTCAGCTTCTGCCATAGTTAGAGCTGCATGAATTGATACTACCTGTTCCTCATTCACAGAAACAGCCGTGTGCGACCTGTAGCTTTAAATTCATCTGATGTTTCAATAAACTCTACTGATGTTTTCTGTGTATTATATGGTCTTGCTAATCCTTCCCAATCTCTTTACAGGAACTGCTCTAAACTGTAGAATTGTTGCATCACAGTAAATTCACATCAACATGTATGAAATAGCTCTTCTTTAGTTTATGATGGTGTTGATTTCACTGATTTCCATTATCTCACTTGTGTCTCTGTAAGCTGCTGTTTGTTATTGTCAGTTGTGTTTGTCTTATTGTGTTTTATTATTTTATTTGTTCTTTACTTTGTTTTTGTTTGGTTATCCTATTCGGATAAACAGGAGGGATTATGTTATGGAAATGTTATGTTTATTATTAACTGAATGTATTATTCTATGCCTACACACACACACACACACACACACACACACACACACACACACACACACACACACACACACACACACACAGACAGCAGCATGTTAGAATCATGTGAATGACTAATTTAACTACACTGAACTGCTTTTGTAATAATTGAATCTCTTATTCTGGAGTAAAATAAAGAAACAAGCTAAATCATCACACATCTGTGGCATCAAGAAGCATCTTCTGAGTTCAAACACAGGGATGGAGCACAATGTTTACACCTGAACAGTATCAGGATGTTTTAACTCACAGAGACCTGCAGGTCTTCTGTTTTATGAGCAAAGCGCTGATAATCCGCTTGTTAGGAGCGCTAAACGTTATTTTGCTGCTGCCGTGCGGAGCGGTAGAGAAACACAAGTCAAACACGGAACAGAGTCCGGCTACCAAACCGAGCAGAATTCTGATGACGTCACACCGGTGCGCGAAGGTGCGGGATCCAACCCACAGGAGAGGAGGGAGAGAGGAGGTAAGCAGCGAGTTGAGGAACGGAACCGATGTCTTTGAGCTAAAGTGTACACACCCACACCCCCCCCACGGTTTAGACGCGGCGCTCATGCAGGTGTCTCTTTCTGTTCCGACGCTGCTACATTTAATAAGCCTATAATTTATTTTTACTCAGTAACGGATATCATTTAAAATGTAGCGAATTACAATTCTTTTTTAAAAACTTACTCAAGTAAAAGTAAAAGTACAGCTTTTAAAAACGACTTAAAAAGTATAAATTTACAAAAAAGCTACTCAATTACAGTAACGTGTGTAAATGTAATTTGTTACTTTCCACCTCTGATCATGACTAAATGATTTAGGTTTCTTCTGGACTTTCCTGCACGAGTCTACATGTTGCTTCACTCTAACACATTTCTTATGAACCAAACAGCCTGAAGACCTTATTGCTGGATGACTTGTCTCCCTCACGTGTCTCTGGAGAGACCACTTGTGAAGAACTTGTTGACAGACTTACCATCTGACTCAGAAGACCTGCTCTCATTCCAGTCATCATCTTCATCTCCAGTTTCAGACCCAGAGTCTGACAGCTCAGAGTCCAGATTCACACCATCATCATCATCTTCTTCATCATCTCCACTAACTTCAGTCTCTGAAGAATCAGATGTTTGTTCATGAGGGTTCAGATCTGGGTTCCTGCTAGTTCCTGCTCCTCCACCAGTTTCTGCTGCCATCTGGTCAGCTGAGCTGCTGGTTGGAACATCTCTGTCTTCTATTTGCTGCTGATGAAGCTGTGAGACCAGAGGTTTCTCTTCATCATCCTCACTCTTTATAGAAACAGCAGTAACAGGAAACCCGACAGCTTCAGTCTCCTCCTTCAAACAGAGATGCTCTCCCTCCAGACTGGTCCAGAGCTCCTCCTGTTCCTCCTTTATGTGGAGGTGTTCTGGGTCCTGCTGGTCCACACCAGCACTCTGTTCTTCAGGAGCTTCTTCTTTAACCAGCACCAGCTGTGGAACATCTGTAGGAAACACAGACACATGATGTTACAGACCACCATACCTTTATATTTACACCATGAGTGATACTGGCTACATGATGTGGGAAAAAGGAACAAGAACATGAACTTCATTTAGATAAAAACAGATTTCTACTTTAGGAACAATAAAAACTTCCATCACAATCAGCGTGTTTGTTTATGACCAGAACTTCTAAGCCTCCTACTCACAACCCAAGCTTTAGATCTGAAGCTTATGTGAGGAGAAACGTCTCCAAGATAAAATCAGCAACTATTCAGTCAAAAGGAAAATGAATAAACACTTAGATGTAGCTGCTGTCAGTAACAATCTTTCACTTTTAAGCTCTCAGCAGGCTAGAGCACTACAAAGCAAAGGAACATTACTAATTAGCATTTTGGGAGATTTAGTGTTGTTATACTATATATATATATATATATATATATATATATATATATATATACACACACACACAAAGTCAACAAAAATATAAACGCAGCACCTTTGTTTCTGCTCCGATTTTTCATGAGATGGACTTAAAGGCAGGGTACGTAAGTTTTAAATGTGAAATAATTTTAAAAATGTTTAATTTTGATCATCTGACCTAGTTTTATTAAAAAAAGTAAATAATCTTAAATATTTCTATTTTTTCCTAAGTCCCTCCCCTGCCCTGTAGAGCTCAGCCAATATTTCTGCAAGCCTAATGCGTTGACCAATAGCGCTGCGTTACCACCAGGGGCAGCTGTCAATCATCGAGAACGAGCAGATCTCAGCGTGCACAACAGTGTCACGCGCCTCACTCGGCTGTCGACTCACTGTTTCGTGATCTACGCGGCATGAAAACGGATGAAGAGTTGGCAAAGTATATTTTGGACAGGTAAGTTATTTATTGTTTTTTGGATAAATTTACTTAAAATCTTTCTTTCACTGAAAGAAGTAATAGAGCAAACAAGCTTTGTATGCTTGGTGTCCTATTGGCTAATGTAGCATTAGCTTGAATTCTAAGTAGACATGAATCGATGCTAGTCGTTGAACTATTTATGCTATATTTGGATGAAGTTTGAGTAACGAAAGGGGATTTTAGTTTTATTTGTATGGGAGCTAATGATTAGTGTGGCGTTTAACTATAGGCCATATCAGTGGAGTGTTTTAAGCTCTTGTGTATATAACCAGCATTAGCGGGGTTCAGTTAGCATCTTGAATGCTGTATTAGATGTTTACTCATTTTAATCAAACACGCAGCTCAGAAAAGTGTAATCAGCAGCTCATGTAGTACTTGTAGAAGTCTGAGGAGATGATTCAGCAGTTAGAATTAGGTGTGATTGATCAGGAACGTATCCAAAACCTTACGTTTCCATTAGCACTGGAAGACATATTGTGTTAGCCTGGGTGGGCCAGTGGACTGATTACGGTCTGGTTTTGTGGTTTTACCTACGTGAATACTCCATATTAAAATAAAAGGAATGATAATCAGCTCATGCAGAAATCTGTGAAGGCTGGGGAGAAACATTAGCTGTTGGAAAAAGACGTATCTGACCACAAACCTGTCCAAACACGGTCACACTGGCTTTCAGTTAGCCTGATATCACACTATTTAGCCTGTTGCACTCACAGCAATAATCGAGTGCCAAATTCAAGTATTTTATTAGGTTTCCCTGGTTTGAAAAAGCAAATCATATTAAAATGAGAGATTAGCAGCTCATGTTGAACTCAGTTGGCTGAGGAGATACTTTACCAATTACAATTAGATTTGTTTTAGCTGGAAAATGTAAAAATATAACGTGATTTGCATGCTCTTCATGCTACAGTCAATTATTTAGTAGTTTCTCTGACCTTCATTTCATTATATATTACAATAACATAGATGTGTAAATTAAGAGATGGCTATATAACATAATATTGTGTTTCTTTTACTTGTTTAGCCTGTGATCACTACTTTTTATTTTAATATGGGCTTTATTTTTACAGTCATCAGTCCAAATATGAAGCATCCGCATCAACACCATTGAAACGCCAGCGGTTTATTTCTCCAACACCAGTGCCAGCTCTGTCTAGCATTCATGGAGAATCATCTGAAAGGTAAATAGCTGCCTAAAAACCTCTACCAGGAATATTACAATTTTGCCTCTGTTTGTTTTAAGTTAGTGGTGGATTATTTTGAAGAAATTCTGGAAATGGGATAACGAATGACTAAAAATGTATAGAAATAAATAAATAAGTAAAACTATATTTTATATAGCGCCTCTCAAGATAAAACTCCTGAGGCGCTTAACAACAAAATTAAAAATATTAAAATAAAAATTTATATTTTTATTTTAAACAAAGTTTATGAGAAAAAATAACACAATTGTGTATTTAAAATGTAAAGAGAGAGACAGGAAATTATTTGTAAAGAAGGAATTCAGTGGATAAAGAGAAATGTGTAATAAGTAGAGGGAGAAAAATAAGGAGAGGGTGATGATGACGGTCAATAGACGAGGTCTATTACCTTCAAAATGACAAAATATGTATTGATTCTAATCATATTCTTGTGCTTGTATTTTATTTTCATAGGGATGATAATTTGGCGATTATCATATTGTTATTGTGTAATTTTTGTATTACTCTATGGTTACATGCTAATCATAATCCTTGCTGAAAAAAAAACTGGTTAAAAACTGGAAAAAAACAAGATTAAAACTATTAGTTACGTGAGTTAAAAACTGTTTCATGTATTGCCAAAATGTATTTTGAGAAAAGAAATGTACATGCATGTAAATGGTTACTATGGTAATGTGAAGGATGAAGAAAGAAAAGACTGTAAAAGCTATAGCTGTGAGAATAAGAGATGAGAATTTTATTTAGCTGTAAACAATAATTGCATTATTGTTGTGCAGGCTAGGTTTTTATGCTCGGTACGGGACTGAAGTGGATTGGAGTCCTGGATTCTCTCCGGATGGAGATGGCGAGCCTGTGCCCGAACTGAATCCCAATCAGGAGAACATCATTCTTCTATACTGAGCCAACATTCCAGTGGTAACCACTCAGACCACTGAACCTGAGTTTTACAAGACCGAGGAGACTTTCTTTTTGACTAGACTACGACCAAATAGAAGACTGATTTGAGCTCAACCTGACTAGGTTTACTGATATAGGGTGAAAGGCCTAATTGTTTAATTATATGTCTATTGCAGCTGCAGTATTTTTTGTTCTATTTTCATATATCTATATAAAATTACAAATCTGGTGCAACTGTGTTCTTTTGCTCATTCTTTGGATCCAGCTATTCCATTTCCCACTCACTGGTAATTTGTAAGGTAATCCTGTTGGACCTAGAGTCTGGCCTATTTATTATTATTTTTTGAATAAGTGGTAACTTAATCTGACGCCAGGGTTACAATAGACTGACAATATATTCATTCATCCACCAGTACCTGTGTCCATGCTGTCCAGGTCCAGGTGGTGAAGAACACACGATGAATCAGTCCCAGCTGATGGATGATCCTGAAGTGGTAGCAGGTTTTCTTTAGCCGTGTTTAGCTAACAGCTGCAATAGAAACAAAGCAGGAGAGCTGATTAAGATGCTGCTTCAGAACAACGCAGGAGATTAAAGATCCAACGCTTTGGTTCTGGCCAAAGGAACAGCAGCAGATTCAGAGGGCAGGAAGTCTAGAGAAAAGCTTTTCTCACCCACAACCTGATTCTGGAGCTCCGATTGTCACGAAGACCGCAGAATATCTTCTCTGGTTCTGGAAAGAACTCCACCAAGTCGTTGAGGAGGAGAAGAAAGTTTCCACAGCCTGGTGAGAAGATTTCTGCAGCAGCAGCAGTTAGTCGCTTTAGCTGATCAACTCTCCCAGAGACTGAAGTGAAGACATTTTTACTGCAGAACCTCAAATATTCTCCTCGCACACCAGAACAACAAGCTAGCTCTGTTAGCAGCTTCCGGTTTCTGCTTCTTCCGGTGGTCAATGACCAGCGTAAAGATGCACTACCGCCACCTGCTGGAGTAGAATAAAACACACCTGGCTCTCATACATAACTTCCGCTGGTGGTTTTTTAGACAAAATATTTGTCGTAATGTTTTTTGTTCCTCTCTCCAAAAGCACCTGGCTGCAGACCTCCACTGTCAGGCTGCTTCCGGTGGAGGCTCCACTGTCAGGACGGGAGATGCATGGGATACATTACAAAATAAACGGCAAACATACTTACGTTTGTAATTGATAGGTTTCAATATAAAATATTACGTAAAATCTATGAATTATTTCTCTATAGTTCATCTGTATTTGTCATTTAACATGCTTACGGTTGTAATTTTTCTAAATGAATTAACGAATGGCCGGGATAGCTTTCAACATAAAACGCTAACATACTTCTGGTCGTCTTATTTCTAAATAAAATCCCGAATGCTGTTTCGTTCGAATTGCTCTCCTAACAAACGCATTTATTTTTTAATATTACGTCTTAGTTAATGACAGAATATATCATAATGACCACGTTGTGCAACAGTAAAGGAAAACACACAATAAAAATGACAAACAAAACTAAGGTTTACTAAATGAATCACAACTATATATGAACTATAGAGAAATAATTGATAGATTTTATGTAATATTAAAAAATAAATGCGTTTGTGAGGAGAGCGATTCAACCGAAACAGCATTCGGGATTTTATTTAGAAATAAGACGACCAGAAGTATGTTAGCGTTTTATGTTGAAACCTATCCCGGCCATTCGTTAATTCATTTTGAAAAGGTCAGTTCATTAAGCCAATCAGTAAAAAGATTCTTGTATAAGGAACCCAGCAGGTTGCATCAAGTCACTGACCACACACACACACACACACACACACACACACACACACACACACACACACACACACACACACACACACACACACAAACAATGGGTTTCTTTGGGGTACACACAGCCACATGCCCAAAGCCCTGACACCTAAACACATAAAAGGAGGTTCCTCAAATGCCATAACTGAGTAGTTGAGCAAGCTCAACATGACACGAGCAGGGAGCTCCACCGTGTCAAATGTTATCAACAGTGAAGTGTATCCATGGGTATCAAACCCCAGACGCTGAACAGCCACCACTGCCGGCCCACTCAGGAAGTCAAACACATCAGGCTCAGAAACGTTGTTTGATATACCGTATACTACCTCCTTAACCAAAGCACCAGAACGCAATTCAGTAACAGTCCCCCCCCACCCCCATTAACACCTCCAGTTTCAGCGCTTTGAGGCTCTGGGCCTTCGTCCAACATACCACTGTCAACAGCCCACTAAACATAACCATAGCATCAAGAACATCCCCTATCACCGCACACAGCTCCCTGGTCACAGCGAATGGGTTAGAGGTTGCAAAACGCACACCTGCCTCTGCCCTGATGAAGACCTCAAAGCTGCCCTCCTGAAGCCTGTGCATCTTCACCTGCGCATCCCAATCTCCGTCCAAAGCATCACTGCTTCCCCCACGGTCTCTCTTACCAGCCCCCGACCCAGCCGAATGAACGGCCACACTAGTCTTTCCCGCTCCCTTCTTCCTCATCCATCACCACAAATGAGGCAGATGCAGAGTGAAGACGGGCCACCGTCTTACCGCGCCCATACAGACCGTCGGCCGACCACCCGAACAACCCCCTCAGCCAAAGCAAATCCGGAGCACAAGCCACAACCCGATGTTCACTCTGCCGGGATCCTTCTCCGGCTCTCTGTCTCTGTTTGCTCGGGTTTCTTGCAGCATTTGTGACTCACATCAGCAGTTTTGTGCAATTGCATTTTCTCACTTGTGCATGTGGGAAGGACAAACAAACAAACAAACAAACAAAGGTTTGAATGAGTTATTCTCTAAATGTGCTGGATTAAATGGTGCAAAATCATTAGAGCAGAAATTCCACATTTTGTAACTTGCTGTAAATCATTTGTGTAACTGCAATGAAGAATGTGTGAAGTGTAACAGTAGTTTTGCATCTGTGAGTGACAGTAAAATAGGCACAAGTTATTTTTTTCACACACAAGTATGTAGACGTGTCTTGCCCCATTTGTTCTGGATCAACTGGGCCAACACTGTAACTGTAAGAATTTTTTGATGTGTGACTCAACGAATACAATTTGTGTACTTGTAACAAAAGTTTTGAATAGATGAAGGTTGTTTTGTATCAATGAGACAGGATTTTTCTAGATTTGTCTCATTGATTTCAAGTTCACAGTGACGAAACACAAATCTATTTGCGCCATATATTGTTGATCAACTGGGGCAAAAGTGTAACTGTAGCAATTTTTTGATGTGTGACTCAGCGAATACAATTTGTGTACTTGTACCAAAGATTTTGATCAAGTGCAGCTGTTGTTTTGTATCTGTGAAAGATAGAAATTTTCTCTGTGATTTCAAGTTCCCAGATTCGAGACACAAATATTTTTGCACCGTATCTTTTGGATATACTGGGGCAAAACTGTACCTGTAGGTTTTTTTTTTTATGTGTGGCTCAAAATTTGCAAATTTGTGTACTTGTACCTACGATTTGGAGTAAGTAAAGCTGTTGTTTTCTACCTGTGATAAAAAGACAAATGTTATTGCACCACATTTACCTTAAAGACAGAAAGAAAACAATCTTTTATATAGTGCCTCTCAAGATAAAAATCACGAGGCTCTTTGCTGCTTAATGAAATATCCGGGACCTTCCTTGGTCATCATCCCAAAATTATTCTTTTATATTATTTTTTATATATATATTGTTTTCATCCCACGATTCTAAATGACATTTCTGGAAATAGATGGGCGTGACTTTAGGCTCCCTTTGTAGCGGTCACACATTATAGCGTGACGACTGCAAATTAATTATGACCAGTATGATGTGATGATGGCTGTGCAGTGGCGCAGTGGTTAGAGCTGTTGCCTTGCAGCAAGAAGGTCCTGGGTTTGCTTCCCGGCCTGGGAGCTTTCTGCATGGAGTTTGCATGTTCTCTCTGTGCATGCGTGGGTTCTCTCCGGGTTCTCCGGCTTCCTCCCACGGTCCAAAAACATGACTGTCAGGTTGATTGGTCTGTCCAAATTGTCCTTAGTGTGAGTGTGTGCATGATTGTTTGTCCTGTGTGTCTCTGTGTTGCCCTGCGATGGACTGGCTCTCTGTCCAGGGTGTACCCCGCCTGCTTGCCCCCCCCCCAGCGAGGACAAAGCGGGTTCAGAAAATGGATGGAAGATGTGATGATTCCATATAAATATGAAATATCAACCTGATTGATCTTTGAATATTTAATCAGAATATTCTAGTTACTTTTACTTGTTCAGGGATCATGAACACACTTTGTATTAATTCAGACAGAGTCAGGTATATAGTTAAAAAGGATTTTTTTTCTAAACTAATGATTATACATGACAAGATATGAATAATGAGCAAAAAAAGCAGCAGCACAGAAATGTGAGCTCACCTCAACTACACTGAGAGAGTCAGAGGAGGACAGAAAGACCCAGCTTACCTGGACCCAGCAGCCAGGTCCAGGTGGACAGAGCAGAACCGAACCAGACCAGTCCACCTGAGGCCAGCAGCAGCTTCCAAGCCACCACCAGGCAATTCTAGGATACACCATCGGCCACTAGAACTGGAAGCCCAGGATCTACTAAACACTAACAACTAAAAAGGAAAAAATACCAACAACCAGCATCTGGGTAAGCCACAGGCTACAGGCAGCAACACAAGCTACCAGCTACAAGGAAACAGGTTGAGCTATTGTGTAGAGGTCTGGGGAAATACGTACAAAAGTCATTTACAAACAATAACGACAATGCAGAAAAAGGCTATCAGATTAATAACAAATGCAGGATATTGGGATCACACAAATGAACTTTTTATTAAAACACAGACAATGAAGTTCCAGGTTTTGGTTCAATACAAAAAAACACAAATAGTATATAAAGTAAGAAATAATTTAATACCTGATAAAATACAGAAACTATTCACAGAGAGAGAAGGAGAATACAACTTGAGAGGGATAATACATTTAAAGAAGTGGTAATGCCCCCCTCAGAGTCTTACTCCACCCACGTATCAATTTTAAAAACTGCAACATTAGTAGGTGTTGCCTGGAGGACCGAGAGGGCGGAGCCGCTGCTAGCTCCCTTCACTCTGAGCAGTCATTAGAAGTGGAGGACGTTTCTCCCCCTCCTTACCCAGACACTCGAGAAGAAAGGGACCAAGTCTATTTGGAGGAGACAAGTGGACCTGAGCCTTATTGTTTTGAGCTTGTGAGTTGCCTGAAACTAGCGGAACCGACCCAACAGAACCAGCTCTGAATGGTAAGTAGCCATTAGCCAAAGCATTAAATTAGCGGCAGGGTTTGGCTCCACGGCCCTAGAGCTAGTATTCAGCATGTTTTAGAGATTTATCTGCTTCAACACACCTGGTTTTAATCAACAACAAATAGCTGAGCTGCTTAACAGCTAATCTAACCTGTTAAAGCAGGAAAACCACTGAAACGTGCTGGATAGCAGCTCTCCAGGAGCCCTGGGCTCAAGTTACAGTCTGCTGCATAAAGTTATGAAAATACCCCATGAGAAAATTATTCTGTAATGTGTTCAGCCCGCTAAAACTGCCCTGATTTCATTATTTACTGATACCAGCTGCTCTCTTGGTTGTAGGTGATCCTCTGGTGTCTGCAGCTGGTGTCGTCAGGATCAGGAGCTTCCAGAAGAATGTGCCTTTCAATGACTCTTTCCCCCTTATTTGTTATATTAATTAAATAAATCTCAATTTATATATTTCCTGTTTTTGTTCATGTCCATAAATACTTAAACATGCTTGAAATTAAAACGAGCTTTTAACAGTGAGGTGCTAGTTTAATTCATCACAACAGAGCTAGTTAAACATGCAACAAAAATGTGATAATCAATGTAATTTATAAATATCCATTAAATATCAAAACTGGAATCAAAATGAGAT